CAAATTGGACAGCAAGGCGTAACAATGTGGGCAAGTTTTGGTTTGAAGATTGAATATTAGGCTTAAGAAATTTCATGTGATCTTGTAGTATTATAGAACCTATATTTGAATGAAATTTCTTTCTATTTTTTTGTAATTGTATGAATCTTGAATGAGTAAAAAGGCACTTTGAATGAAACTTGAAAACCCCGCTTGACAATTTTTGTATCCCTGAAAACTTGAATGATGATTTTTCCTTTTGTTGAATCTCTGTGTAATTTGTAGCTCAAATAATCAAAACAAAAACTTGAACCTTGGCTTTAACTTTTGGCTTTATGGCTTGCAAAGTGGCTTGTAAAAAAAGACATTGAATGGATTTGAATTTGATGAAACTTGAATGACGACCTTGTGAACTTGCTCGTATTGAAATGATCTTGAACACTTGAATTCATAAATTTGAATGAATGATGATGAGTTAAGCGAATCATGAGTGAAACTTGAACTAAGCTTTGAATAAGTGTTGTAATCTTGCTATTTTTTTCCAAATGAATAAGTCTTCAATTCCAAATTTCAACAAAAAATTAAGATCACCCTGGACAAACTTCAACATTCTCAAAATCAAAATAATCTTGCAATTGAAGTAATAAGCATTGGAGATAATGATAATGCCTTGATCACAAAACGAGTCCATAACCAACACCTCTTCTGTCATGAATCAAACTTTTATAACTCGAACTGCGAGCCCTTTGTCTTTGAAAAATCCTTCCTTCACTTGATAACTTTAATCACAAAATAAAGCATCTAAAGAATCCTTGTAATAAGATGATTGAGACTTGTAGCATAAAAGAATTTACTTGAGATAAAAAACCCTAACAATAATCTTCACACTGAAGAATGTTAACATGCTCAAACATGAATGAGGAACCCAAATCCAATCGCATTAGGTGCACAAAGATGAAGAAATTGGCTTGATGAGGGAAGAAATCCACACACAACCCTAGTCCTCTAAAACCCTAATTCATTGACCTTGGGTAGAGAAATAAACCCTAACCCTTGGCCTTGATGAATTCTGAGAGAGAAAAGTCATGCACTTGGATGAATAAGAGGTCCCATGATAACCATACTTCAAAACCTAATCCCACAACCCACAGCTCAAGTAAGAACCAGAGAAATCAACCTCATTGGATAAAAAACTCAAACCAATATGAAACCCTGATTGGCGCAGCCACTGATGCCTTGAATTACTGCTTTATTCAATGAAAATGCATGATATGCAAATGACCTGATGAAAGGTATGCAGATGAAATGAGGAGTGCAAAACGCATAAGCCTGATAAAAGTAAAAAGGGTAGGATAAATTTGGGGTATAACAGCTGCCCCTATTTAATCGTCTTAAACCTGAAAGTATGATTGGTGTGTGCCTTTCAGGTGTTTGAGGTAGAAGATGATTAAATACCAATGCCCAAAAATTTGTTCTGAGAGAAGGTGTAAGTATTTTTTTATTTTTGTGATATCTGTTGGAGAAATAATTTTTCGTTTTCTGGTGAGAAAGATTTAAGGGTGAACCTGAAAGGTGATTGCTCGTAACATGGCAAAGGTGCCTAAACAGGGTTTAGAAACCGATACTAAGAGTACTTGAAAGCTGACATGACGAGCGTTGGAAGGTGACACGACGAGTGTTTTGAAATTGACACGATGAGTGTCAGAAGCTAACACGACGAGTGTTCAGAAGCTGACATGATGAGTGTTTAGAAGATAGCATGATGCCAATGCGAGGACAAAGAAGACTTGTAACATGGTGTGATACCAATATAAGGAAGAGATCGAACTTGTAATGTAGCATGATGCCAATAAAAGGAAGAGATCGAACTTGTAACGTAGCATGATGCCAATACAAGGAAGAGATTGGACTTGTAACATAGCATGATGTCAATACAAGGAAGAGATCGAACCTGTAACGTATCATGATAACAATACAAAGAAGAGATTGGACTTGTAACGTAGCATGATTCCAATACAAGGAAGATATTGAACTTGTAACGTAGCATGATGCTAATACAAGGAAGAGATCAGATTTGTAACGTAGCATGATGCCAATATAAGGAAGAGATTGGACTTGTAACATAGCATGATGCCAATACAAGGAAGAGACCGGACTTGTAACGTAGCATGATGCCAATACAAGGAAGAGACTGGACTTGTAATGTAGTGTGATGCCAATTGAAACAACCGGCTGAAAATCATCAAACAATGAAGTCGCCATCGAACGTCTTTATCCCACATGTAGGGAAAGGTAAACATCGAGAAAACCTGAGAAGGGAGAAGTCACGGTCTTGCGACTGAGAGATCGGGTAAGGGAGTCTGTTACGCGGGGGGAAGGTATTAGCACCCCACACGCCCGTAGTACTCTACGGTATCCACTCTTGTTGTCTATCTTATGGGTGTGTTTAAACTATGCTTACTATTTACTATACTAATGAAGGGGGAATGCATGCAAAAGAAAAGGGAAAAGAATGTAGGGAAAATAAAATTGTGCTCGCTTGGGCCCTACCCAATGCCTACGTATCCTTTTTGAGGAATCAGAGCTACCGTAGTTCGGCTCATATGTTTTTTTTTTGTTTGTGTTTTTTATGGACGGAGTAAATTCCGCCTTCTGCCGCAGCTTGAACTTTGGAGACTTATGCGTTGGCACAGAAGTAAATTCATCATGTCCTTACCTGAAAAGGGTTTTAGAGAAAAGGTGCTTGAGCGCACAAAATGGTTTTGAATTGGTTTGTATTTTTGTTGCAGATAATGACTAGTTGACCTCAAGAGAGAGATATTAGCCACTTTTCTACTTAGCCATGAAAAGAGTCTTTGAGAATTGAACCACACCTAGGCTTGAGCTGAAGAACAATAAGATCGAGAAAAGACCCGCTTATCATTTCCCATACTAAGCAAAGGCATGATTCTCATCAGTAGTATTAAAGTGTTTTGAAGCTTGCAACGGAAAAGAAGTTTTAGTTTTAGATGCACATGCAAAAGGGAAGAAAAGAGTCTAAGGGAGACTAGCTTATTTATAAACCTAATGTTATCATACAATGGTATCCCTACGCCAAGGATGAAAGGGGAAATTTCTACCTACTGTTAGCATGCATGGTTTGCAACTTAAGGTCTAACTTGCGTCTGAACGGAGCAAGCGCATCCTAAGGGAACATGGTATGTACAAGGATAAAGCAAACATGCTTATAAGCTCAAGAGAGCACGCCTAGAGATATCCTATCTAAGTTAGCATGCTAAATAAAGTCTAATAAAACTATCCTATAGGGAACATGCAATGAGAGCGAAGTCGTGATCTCAATTTCTAAATTGAGTGACTCATCGGTCAACAAGAAATAAAGGAAAGCAATAAAAATCCTATAGGAAGCATGCACTGAGAGCGAAGTCGTGATCTCAATTTCTAAATTGAGTGACTCATCGATCAACAAACAAAGAAACAAACACAAGCACAACACATATAGCAAATGAAGTGCGGAATGCCTGCTACAGGTCTTTAAACAGCTACTTCGAGCGCACACTCTTTATTTCCTACTTCTCATGATATCTAGAAAGTAATAACAAAATGCAATAAAGTGAGAAGCAGTACAAGGGTAGTAGCGACGACTACCAAAAGCAAGCAAATTGTCAAGAGCGGACGAAAGCACTGGAGAAGCAGGGAGTACGCGTTGAGCAAGCTTCACCGAGAAACAAACAAAGTCAGAGATGATATCTAACTAAGATAAAAGCAAATGCATGTTGCAAATGCAAAGTGTAATCAGAAATTCCTGCACAAAGTATCACAAAATATCACATGCATCAGGACAACATATAATATGATATGAAATTCTCAGAACGATGAGAAATAAGGCGTGTCGCATCAGAAGCGAGCATAAGCCATGTGATTCGATCACATAACAACTTGTTATGTACATGATCTAAAGCACCAAAAATGTAACTTGCACAATGAACAAACGCGTCAAAAATAACGAGGCACAATGGTACGAAAAAAAGAAAAAGTATTTTTATTAGTTTTTTATGTACGGAAAAATTTCATCAAAACTAAAGAATTAACTTCTAAAATCAATTAAAGAGGTTTAACAAATTTTATTGACTATTATAATTTTTTATCATAACAAAAATTAACAAAGAAAAAGTTCTAAATCTAACAAAGAAATGGGAGTATCATGGGGGTGCAAGACCTGAATCATGGTGTATGCTGCAAGTAACTGAATAAGCCCAAATAGAAAAAGTCCATAATGCTAGTTTTTGTTGGAATCCTCTCGGGCTTCAAAAACAATTAACATAGACTGATAAGTATGTGGTTCCGCCCACACCAAGTGCGATTAACGCCCATGTAGTAATATCCTTAACCAATTTTTGTAGCAACTTCCAAAGCCTGCAGTGTCAAAAACATATAGAAATGGGCCTAAAGGGAATGTATGGTTCGGTCCATCCATCCACTACCAACATAGCCCAATACTTGTTCAACAATGTTCTCTCATTTATGAATCAGTTTATTATTTAAAAAAAACAAAATAAAAATAAAAAATAAAATTGAAAATGGACAGGAGAACAACATGCTATGAAGGAGAAATTAGGAAAGAAATTGTGACTCTTGGAATTTTAACGAACACAGAGATCTCTCTTCTCCTCTTCCCGCAGCGGTGCGCCACTTCATCTCCGACGAAAACACCGCAACACTTCCTCATACTTCTCGCCTTCGTCCTCGATTTTGCCTCTTCAACTCACGTCTCTATTCGTTGCTTCCATCTCTCTCACGGCACTGCGAAATCAACATAGCAATCACTATATTTACATAACAATGAAGAAGTTGAACGAGTTGGGGATTACCTACTGAAAGATCGTTCAGTGCGTCTTCAACTTTGGAAAAAAAGCGAGAACGAAATTACAGATGGGTATAATCAAGTAACGACAATGAATCTTCTTCTTCTTTTTCTTCTTTACCATTCCACCGGTTTAGAACCTTGAAACCCATCGACCATCATGCCGGCGGCTCCCGCGGTAGTTCCCTTGGAGGAGATGGAGACGAAGACGTGATCTCAGGTACGCCTTTCTTCCACTCAGATCTTTTTTCTTTGCATTTTCTGTTGCGAGACGTTGTTGTTCTGATGTCGATCGCTGTTGTAATCTGACATAGGTGATGAAACATAGAAGGTGTTGATGATTATTGTTACAGAGAATTGATGCTTGAAGATTTTATAACTGGTGAAGGTGATTACGGTGACAAAGTGCAGAAACGATCAAGATGTCGAAAATTTTGAGAGAAAGATGAGAGATTTCAGAATTTGTTGGTGTTGATTCTTCTGCAGATGAAGAATTGTGGGAGGTTGAAGAAGAAAGCTGGGAGAAGAGGGATGAGGATGAAGATGGTGCCTTATGGTGATTCTCTTTGGTGAGTTTTTCCCCTTTTTACTCTGTGTACTGTATGTTTTTCTGAATTTCTTCCCCTTTCTATTATATCTTCGGTTAGAAGTTTGCTAGTGGCAGTTAGGAAATTGAAACTGTTGGTTAGCCTTTAGAAGTTAGTTACAGGTGGTTTAATGGGTTAGAAAAGAGGTTAGGGAATTCTGTTATGGGATGTTAGTTTGTTTTTGAAACAGTTAGGGAATGGTTTGTTAACAGTTACAGGTGAGCTGGTTTTTTAGAAGTTAGTTAGAAGAATCTGTTAGATGCAGGGTAGTTTAATTATGTTTGGATTCTGTTGACAGTTAGGTCAATTTGTTGGAAGTCAAATGGTTGGAGGTTTGGGCTGTTAAACAGGGTTGTTTGGAATGGTTAGAGAAAATTAGAATCCTGTTTGGAAAATGTTTAAGAGTTAGATAAGCTAACTGATGGTTAACGGTTTTTTGTTATGACAGTTGGAAAATTAAGGAATTTTGCAGGTTCCCTTTTCTGTCATTTAATTGGAAGATTAGAGATTTGTTATTTAGTTGGAGTGGAAAAGGAAGTTAGGGATTGGTTATTGTTCGTTCAAAAATCTGTTAGCGGTTTGGAAGATAGGGGAAGTAGGTTAGAAAACAGTTGAAGGATGAGAATTAGTTACAGTCTTGGCAATTAGGAGGTCAGCTATTGTTGGGAAAATTAACTGGGGATTTCTGTTAAATAGGTTGTTTAGAAATTCTGCTAGGCAGTTTAGGGAATATGACAGTTTAGTTGCAAATTGATAAGAAACCCCGTTATGAAATTGGTTAATAGTTTTTTCAGTGAGGCTTGGTCACAGTTTGTTATGAAAATTGGATTTTTCATGCCTTTCACACTTGGATCGAATTATTGAATGAGTGATTTATTCTGTCTTGTTTATTAATTGTTGCAGGTTCTGGTTCGACACAATAACAGGTTTTTTCCGACATTTTGACCATCAACACTCACAAGAACCTGTTTTTTTTCCAGGTTCAACCCGAGTCTTCTTTGAAGCTGCTACAGAGGAATTCAAGTCTTGTAACATATCTCCTGATATTCAATTCATGTCCCGGCTGACAACTTTACAAGCGACTTGCGTATAAGCCTGGTGAGTGCACTTCCTTTTTGTCCTTAGAACAATAGCCGAATTCTGAACTAGTGCAAAAACAATCCTTTCAACAACAGGTTTTCTTTGTAAATTCTGGACTGAATATGGTTTTCCTATATATGTGAATGTATGATAATTACATCATGTTATATCAAGTTCGAACCAGATTCTGACGTTACCGCAGTAGTATGCGGCAAGTTGGTCATGACAAGTTGTGGAACATATTGATATTTTATTGCAATTTACTTCTAGCTTAGTCCATACATTAAATCCTCATATCAAGAATGGATATTGCATGCATTAATCTGACCATATATGTTGCGGTTTGTTTATGACTTGCATTGAGTTTCATATGTCAACTGCTAGCTCAAAATGCATGTCTTGTAATGATATTGTAACTGATGTGCTGTTTTTTTAGCTATATGTAGGTTGTGATGGAAAGGATAAAGGTTTGGATTGACTTTCAAAATAAGCATGGTATTGAAGTCCATTAGCAAGACAAGACTGAAAGATAGGGTACAAGGCATTTGGTGCAAAGTTAGAAGCATGACTTTTAGCGGTGAGGATGGACATGGAGATGGATCCGTATGGCATGGCATGATGTTCGGTTAAGGCTCGAAACATGGAGGGTGATAGGGATTAGAATAGGTTTTAATTGTTGTGTAAAGTTCCATGTGTATAATTGTATATATGTTTGGAAACTGTAATGTAAATTATAGTGAGGTTATGGTATTTTGTAAGGGCTAGTAATTCCTTCTCCTTCATGTAATTCTTCAAATGGAATGATATTTGGAAGTTGGACGAACTTGTATATTTAAAGATGAATGATTATCTTTTGAGAGAGCCTTTCTTGTAAATTGTCATGTGAATGGAGTTGAATCTTTAAAATTGATCCATGTACAATGATGTTAGATGATGGATGAAATGGTGGGAAATTTCTTGAATCCCTAAGTGGATTTCGACGAACTCTGAAGGATAGTGAAAGATGTTGAATTTGATATTTTGATGATTCTTTTTAAATGAACTTTGGTATCTTGAATAATATTTGAATAACCTTGAACTTGCACACCTCATTACTTAAATCTTAAGAAATCCAAATACATTTCTTTTCCAACCTTACAAGCCTCCAACAACTTTGATGAATTGAACCAAGTTTGAATCCATGGAATCATTTAAATCCACTTCAACCTTAATCCAAATTAACTCGCACGACAAGAAACAAACAAATTGAACGAACGACGCTTTGATTATAATCCACATATTATATCATGTCTCGATTGTATGAGAAATAGAATAACAATTTCTTGGATCCTTGAAGAAAATATTTAAGATGACTTTGACCTTAAACCCTAGCTCACATAGTCTTTACTTAAACCTTTAGTGAAACCCTAATGATCATGCCCTTGGTGAAGATGACAACCTTGTAGCTTAATGAGAGAAAGAAGTTCTAAATGATCAAGAATCCAAACCCTAGCCCCACAATCCACAGTTAATGAGAAACCAATTGATTCAAGCCTGAGTGAAGATAAGAGTTTAAAAGCACATATAAAACCCTAACTTCAAGATCCTTGTTCCCATGCTAAATTTACTGATTAATGATGCATGATGTGTTAAATGACCTAATGGAGGGTATGCAGATGGAATGAGAAGTGAAAAATGCATAAGCCAAATAAAAGTGAAAGGGTAGGACAAATTTGGGGTATTACACCAATAAAAGGAAGAGATCAGACTTGTAACATAGTGTGATGCCAATACAAGGAAGAGATCGGACTTGTAACAAAGTGTGATGCCAATACAAGGAAGAGACCGGACTTGTAACATAGTGTGATGCCAATACAAGGAAGAGATTGGACTTGTAACGTAACGTGATGCCAATACAAGGAAGATACCAGACTTGTAACGTAGCGTGATGCCAATACAAGGAAGAGATCAGACTTGTAATGTAGTGTGATTCCAATACAAGGAAGATATCAGACTTGTAACATAGCATGATGTTAATACAAGGAAGATATCAGACTTGTAACGTAGCGTAATGCCAATACAAAGAAGAGATTGGACTTGTAACGTAGCATGATGCCAATACAAGGAAGAGATCGGACTTGTAACGTTGCATGATGCCAATACAAGGAATATATCGGACTTGTAATGTAGTGTGATGCCAATATAAGGAAGAATCAGACTTGTAACATAGCGTAATGCCAATACAAGGAAGAGATAACACAGACGAGTGTTTGAATCAATATGAACAAGTATCGAAAGAAGATACGGACGAGTATCAAGGAAATGTTTAAACACAGACGAGTGTTTAGGGGACTGACACAAATGAGTGTTGGAAGACTGAATTATTTGTCAGACGGGAACTGGCTACCAGATGAGAACTGGGTTTAGAATGACAAGGTGTATTGATTTTGCTGGTAATTCAGGGGTACTAGGTACTGGCACCATTAGCTGGGCATTGTGAAGGTGAAGGTCATCATCTGAAGGATTTGGCAGCGATATCCTCTTGTAGGAATGTATTACCTTCTTTGAATGATTCAGGTCTTTCATGTAAGGTACCTGATCTGGCTTATGCTTCATATGCATGTTTGAATTTATTTTGATGCAAAGATCCATTCTGATTTATCGACTACACGCTTTTGAGGATGCAATGTTATGCAACAATAACTATATGCAATGAAAGGGAATAGACTTCATGGAGATAAGCGAACGATCATTGGGAACCGTTGTTCATCACCGGGGATGTTAATATATATCGGCACTGGAAACCCATGTTACCAAATATCTTTGGGGATATTGATAATAATTTGCACTGGGTAGCTCATGATACCGAATATTATTGATGACTCCACTGAATATTGGATTGCTGACGAAGTGAGTTTTCAGGCACGCCGCTGAATTCTGAATTGTATTGTTGGGGAAGAGATAATATGGCCCTACTTCCCTACATCCTGAACCACTGAGGGGATGGTAGAACTAAATATGCCAAATAATGGATACTGAGCACCGTGTGGATCTATTCGAATACATGCCTCAAGTTTACGCCACACTGGGGAATTACCTCTTAAATCACTTGGGGATAAAAGATGGACATGGACCTGCGAATGCCCTGGTTTAACTCTTCAAATGCCCAAGTTTACTCCACTAGGGATGCCTCAGTTCAGCTCTACGAATGCCCTGATTTAGGTCTCGGGGATCGTGCACTTGTGCGTGCCAAGTCAAACGATGAATCCAGATATTTTGAATTCACTTGGGGAATCAGGCTTGAAATTGTTTGTAGAAAATGAAGGCGGTTTCATGTGCTGGCTAGGTCAAGTGACCGTTATGAGTTGCTACCTTCAAAGAAGAAGAGCACTTGGAATGCATATGACACTCCCTCGTGGTTATACATCAACGTAAAGTCAAGTTTTATCTCATCTTGGGAATTTTTATTCCCCATGTTTCTAATGTAGTGTTTAATAGCGAATAAAACACATTTTATATACGAAAAATATTTTATGATAGTAAAAGACAACAAATTTGATGAAAAAAAACTTTATTGATTGGCCTGTGAATAGGAATTTGTACAAGGATGCAACTCCTATATGAGGTAGTTGCGAAAAAGAAACGGAAAATGCCACAGATACAAAAGGTAATGAGAGATGCTCAAATTTCCATTAAAATCAGTATTGCTATAGTTCCCATATCCTTAGTAGTCTCAATGCCTTGCCTCTGAAGAGTAGCAGTTGGACCGATTGATTCACTGCCAAGGTGGTATAGATGTGCATGTGTTATTCATGAACAGTGTTTAGACTACAGCCTCTCGCTTACGATCCCTAACTTTTGCTTGGACCGTCCTTTCGAGTTTTCGATCCAACGGGATACCCTTTTTTTCCTAAGACGCCCTTTCGGGTTTTTGACTTAACGGGTTATTATATTTTTCATTTTATCCCTAATTTTTTCCTGGACTTTTCATGTCCACCAGGATGCCCATTTTTGCCTAAGTTTCCCTTTTGGGTTTTCGACTTAGCGGGTCTCTTTATGCGTATAATTTTTTGACTAAGTCTGAATTGACTGGGAGTGTCTTCCCTATCCATGTCTGTCAGGATTAGAGAACCTCCTGAAAAGGCTCTCTTCATGATATATAGTCCCTCGTAATTGGGAGTCCATTTTCCCCTTGGATAAGAATGGCTTTTCACGATAACCTTTCTCAAGACCAAATCACCAGGATAAAACTTCTGAGGACAAATCTTTTTGTCAAATGCTCTTTTCATCCTCTGTTGGTACAACTGGCCATGACAGATGGCTTCCAGACGCTTTTTGTCAATCAAATTGAGTTGGTCAAGTCTTGTCTGAACCTACTCTGCCTCATCAAGTTTGGTTTCCATCAAAATCCTCAGCGAAGGAATCTCTACTTCCACGAGAAGCACTGCGTCCGTACCATAGACAAGAGAGAACGAAGCTGCCCCCGTCGAGGTACGTACAAACATTCTGTAGCTATGCAGAGCAAAAGGTAACATTTCATGCCAATCTTTTTATGTTCTGACCATCTTCTGGACGATCTTCTTTATGTTTTTGTTATCAGCTTTGACTGCACCGTTCATCTTTGGTCTATACAGCGATGAATTGTGATGTTCAATTTTGAACTCTTCACACAACTCCTTCATCATGTTGTTGTTAAGATGAAAACCATTGTCAGTGATGATTCTGTGAGGAATTCTGTAACAGCATATGATTTCCTTCCTGATGAAGTTGATAACGACCTGTTTGGTTACATTCTTGTAAGAAGCCGCTTCCACCCATTTGGTGAAATAATCAATAGCCACCAGAATGAACCTATAGCCATTTGAAGCACTCGGTTCAATCCTTCCAATCATGTCAATGCCCCACATTGTGAATGGCCACAGGGAAGTCATAACATTCAAAGGAGTTGGAGGAACATGAATTTTGTCTGCATACACTTGGCATTTGTCCTACAACTCTGCGTATACACAACAATCACTCTCCATCATCCTCCAT